ATTTTAATTTTAATTCGATATAGTGATGATCAGATATCGTGATTTTGTACAGATCGAAACATCTAATACCTCGCTTCTAATTGAGTTCATAAATGTGGGTTCATTACCCCCGTTAAGGAAAAGTCTTTTTCAACAACCAAATACAAAACGTGAGTTCCTCCTGCATTTGTGTCTTTGCTCCCCCAGGCAATATTGTGTGCGTTTGAATCACTTGCAATTAGAAGCTGCAGTTAGCTTGTTTGCAAAAGTCAACAAGAGCGCAGAGATTATTGCTTGGTGGTAAGTGAAATAAAAGTAACAAATGCAAACTATTTACACCGAAATTTTTTTAAAACAATTGCTTTATAACAAACATGCTTTTTTGGGGAAAAAAAGGTTTTTGAGTTTCTTCATGTTTCTTCAAATTTTGTCAACTAAATAAATAATTGTATGAAAAAAAACTTTTCTTTTATTATTGCGTGCATATTTCAACCGAAAACGAGTCAAAAAATGTCAAAAAATTATTTTCAGGGTGTTGCTTACAGCAAGTTATATTTATTATTCATGTAGCTTTGATTGTTTAATTATTTGGTGTCATAGAATAATTATATAAAAAATTGTCATGAAAATCAAAAATACCTAATTGATATGGTTATGTAAATAAACAATTCTTTAAATTTTTGTATTGATTAATTATTTGAATTCAGGTTAGGTTCATTTATTTAACAGTTAATGGAAATCGTATATTTTTCCAGCATCTTAATTTGTTTTTAAGCACAATCGGTGCCCTTGAAAGTAAAAACATCATCTTCAAATATAAAGCTGTTTTATTCATTTGAAGGCATGTGGCAAAATCTAAATTTAATTTGTTATAAACTCTTGAATTGCCTGTTAGAGAATGTTAAGAAGACTTGAAGTTACATTTCCATATTGCTGAAAAAAGAAAATGTTTAAAATCAAGAAAATTTTTCCTCTACTTGACTTCATAAAAAGGATATAAATTTTTTTCTTTTCTAATCAAAAACATCAAAATTTAAAATCGTTATTTATCAGGTACCTTAAACTCCATTCTAAAAGTAAACATCAAAAATATCTAATGAAAAAAATTTTTTTTTCTTTCAAAGTAGTAAAGTTTATTAAGTTATAAAATTATATTAAATGCATGATTTGGATATTTTAAATATAGTTTGTAGAAATTTTATGCAAATAAATTATTTTAAATATCTCAACAGAATATAGATAAAAAATGGAGAAAAACAAACTTTTATCCTTCTGAGAATATCGTTCGTTTATAAATATAAAACAAAAATATATAAATTTTTCGCTTATCTACAAACAGTATAAAAAATAAAGCTGTTGAATGATATAGACATAAAAAGATGTTGATAGAATATATTTTCTCCTTCTACCAGTGATATTTATATATTTTATTTAAAATAAATGATATAAAAGAGCGATCCAAGATAAACATTTCGGCATAAATGGTATTGAAACGTGGCATATTTGAAATTGGGTGAAGAAGAAATAAGATAAGATTATACCTTTAAAATTTTTCGAGTAAATCCTGAAGCAGAGCGTCGGAGCAAGAAGTCTAATTGACTTCCTCCTTTCCAAAAAAGAGAGAAATATAAACCTATGACATTTAATGACAAAAGCAGATCTATAAAATAAAATCTATTAAGCAACAGAAGTAAAAGCATAGGAAAATATCATTGAGTGAATGGAGGCAGTAAAATCTAAAAAGTATACTTCACCAACTTTCTCGTGTACTTTCAAATTAAATAAATATAAATTTACCTCAATATAGGGAGTGAAAAATATACTTCCTGTGCTATGAGAAAAAAATAGAATAAAAAAATTTTCTAGTAGATACAGAGGTAGAAGAGAGAATAATCCCCATTGAGGAAGAAGACAAAATAGGAAAGTTATGTATTTGACATACATTTTGCTTAAATTTTATGTAGATATACTAAATGAAAAAGGAAAGAGTGAGAGGAAAAATACACAAAAAAAAATTGAAACTCATTCGCTTTCCATTCCTTTTTTGTAGTTGTTACTTCTTCAATTTTTATATATATGTACACATGTATAAATACAATTGTAACACATAACATACCTTAAACCTTGAACTTTTCTGAATGATTTATGATTAAAGGCACACAAAGAGAAAAAAATGAGGCACGAGAAAAAGGCAACATTAACAGCCAGCACAAGTTTATGTCCTTATGTATTTTCACAACTTTTCTCATTTCTGCTGATGTTGCTCACATATACATACATATGAGCGAATGTCTTGAGTATATCATGTATAAAATTCAAATGCTTCTACAGGCTTCTACAATATTAACATACAAAAATCGTATAAGGGAACATTTCTTCGAAATTTAGTGTAATGCAAATAATATTAATAACTAAAGTACTTTGCAAATTGTAATTATTATTATCACAATTGAAAAATAAAATATCAATGGATAAATTAAATATAAACAAAAAAAAAATTTTAAAGCAGCCAATAGATTGATTTTACTTTTAGAGTGATTGAAATTGATTTAATTGCATTGAAATCTCGTTTGTTTGTGCTTTGTCAAGATGATACATTAATACATATTTGTAAGGCAGAAACCTTCAATTGTTTAAAACGCAAAGGGAATAATTTAGACAATTTTTTTTTGCTTTTAAATAAAAAATATTTTAAAATTAAAAGAATATCCCAGAGTAAGATGGATAAAATTACTCTAAACCAAAAATTATTTTTATTTTACCATAAAAGTTAAATAATGAATATAAAAATATATATATAAAAAGATATATACAGTATGAATATTTCTTAAATTTTTATATTCACACCGTTTTCACGTGTGAATCTATTGGTTTTGTTCAGATTGAAAAATCAGTTTTTCGCATTTTGTGAGAAAACAAAGCAAAATTGGTTATAGAAGGTCGAAGAAGAAAAGTTTGTGCCTGAAATTTTACATCATTTTCAAAAAACAGATTTCAAATTGGTTGTGGCATTGCTGAGAAAATCGCAAAATACGCTTTCTGTAAGCAAACAAGCAAGCAAGTTAATCAGCAAGAAATCTCAATAACGAGACATCGTAGAGACTTCTAGTTTTTTACATTTAATCCGTGCTGCTCTATAGAAGAGCTGTATTGTTTTTGGGCAAGGTAAGAACAGCCGTTGCTTCAGAAAAAGCAAAAAACTTTCCTTTCTTACGAATTTTTCAAGTTAAAAGTTCACTGTGATTTTTTTTTATTTTAAATTAAACTTTGGATGAAAAAAATTTTTTTGAGCAAAGAACCAAGATGAAATACATTTTCAATTTTGGACTAGGGGCGACCCTAGTAAAATAAATTTTGTCACTTTTTTCTTCGAGGGTTTATAAAAATGGATTGAAACTTTGCATAAATATTCTAGTGCTTAAAACAAATACAAATAAAACATCCAAAAATTTTTTTGACCAAAGAACCAAGTAGGAAATTAAATTTCAATTTTGGACTAGGGGCGACCCTAGTCAAAATCAATTTTGTCACTTTTTTCTTCGAGGGTTTATCCAAATGGATTGAAACTTTGCATAAATATTCTAGTGCTTAAATCAAATAGAAATAAAACATCTTAAAATTTTTTTGAGCAAAGAACCAAGTAGGAAATACATTTTCAATTATGAACTTGGGACAGGTCTAGTCAAAATCTAGTCTTTCACTTTTTTACTTCGAAGGTTTATCCAATTACAGTGAAACTTTGTGTGAGTGTATTAATTTTTATACAAAACAGGTTTAAATATCTAAAGCAAGAAATGTATTCTATATGTCGTCAGACCCAAATTTTATAAATTTGGTTGTACATTCAAAAACAACGTGACTTAAAATTTTGTCCAAAAAAATGATTTTTATTAATTCAGAAATGTGTGACCTGAAGATTAGAATCCTCATACAAAGTTGTACTGTATTTGGATTTATCCTCGAAGAAAAAAGTGACAAAATTGATTTTGACTAGACCTGTCCCAAGTTCATAATTGAAAATGTATTTCCTACTTGGTTCTTTGCTCAAAAAAATTTTAGGATGTTTTATTTCTATTTGATTTAAGCATTAGAATATTTATGCAAAGTTTCAATCCATTTGGATAAACCTTCGAAGAAAAAAGTGAGAAAATTGATTTTGACTAGGGTCGCCTCTAGTCCAAAATTGAAAATGTATTTCCTACTTGGTTCTTCGCTCAAAAAAATTTTAGGACGTTTTATTTGTATTTGTTTTAAGCATTAGAATATTTATGCAAAGTTTCAATCCATTTGTATAAACCCTCGAAGAAAAAAAGTGACAAAATTGATTTTGACTAGGGTCGCCCCTAGTCCAAAATTGAAAAATGATTTTCTGTGGTATACTTTTGTCAAAAAATTTTTTTGGATGTTATATTTGAATTGACATAATTCTGACATAAATCACATACCAATATTACTTTTTGTAATGCATAGCTTAAAAAAAATCGAAATCTAAAATTTCGACTACCCCACCTGAATTTTGTTCATACTCTTCACTGTGGAAACCAAAAAACAAATTCTTTATCTTAAAACACCTGACAAAATAGCGACATAATTCAGGATTAATTACTTTTTAATAATATTTTAACATTTATGAGAAAATGTGGTTCAAATAAGTGTGAAGTATGGCCGAGATTTGGACCAAAATCAGCTATACTGGTTCATAGTGTTCCCGAGGGTGACAAAATTCAAACTAAGTGTTTTTGTAGCTGACATAATTATAACATAAATTAGGTATAACTTTTGAACTGTGTCGATTTGGGTCTCGGCCGTACTTCACGCCCACCCTTCAAACTTATGCTGAGCAAATCTTGGTCTATCCATAAGACTTTTGATGGTACGGTGACACTAGTCTTTTCTGCTTTTTTAAAACTTCTTTTTGACTCTTGGAGATTCTTCAAAAAAAAATTAACTTAAATTTATTATATTTGTTTTTTTTTTATTCGTGCTAATTTCTTTATTTTAATTCAAATATTTTAACATAGCAACAGAAGAAAACGTGGAGAAAGTTTTAGTTAATGGTATAGCTGAGATAAAATGTGATGTTTCATCAAACATTGATAATGATCAAGTATTATTAGTTGTGTGGTACAAAAATAATCTTCCAATATATAGGTGAGTATATCATATTATGATGTATAGTGAAGCATACAGTAATTCATGAATGATTCTTATAAATGCATGTAATGTATATTGTATGTCTGTTTCAGTCTGGTTGAAATGAATGCTTTTGACTAAAATATGATTTTCATGATGATGGCTATTATGACTCTTAGATCTATGTTTGTATATAAATTTAGGCAACATATTAAAATAACTGCGTGATATATATATGAATCTTTATGACTATGCATGGGTTATAATTTATATTTTTCACTTCTTATTTATTTGAAAAGTTTAATTTTATTTTTTTTTACCTTAAAATAAATAAAAACAAAAATTACAATCAGCCAAAAAATCACCATGTGGTACATGGTTATGAATATTTTATAGCAAGATTAAAGGAAGTATAAAGTGATAAAAGTGGAATAATATAAAGAAATGCTGTATTTCCTTTTCTAAACTAGTTTTTTGCTAAAGATTAATTTACTTTAAAAATCAAAAAATTAACAAACATTCTTATTCTATTATTAAATTTTAATATTTTTAAAAATCAAGTTTAATAAATTTCTGTTTTAATTTTCAATGGAAATTTATTTATGGCAAGTTTGTCAAAAGATGTTATTATGAAATTTACGTTAGCTTTTTATTCAAATGGAAATAAGTTCATTATAAATCTTCCAAAATAAATTCTGACATGTGACATGAGATTAAATTTTTTTAGCGTATTCCTTGCGAGTTTTCATGAAACAAAATAAAAAGGAACAAAAACATTAAAAGTAAAAAGTATGTATGAAAATATGCATGTAGAATACAATTTGAAAACTTTGTATGAAGCAATTGAACGGTTTTTTACTGTATGTGAGTACAATACGAGTAAAGTAGAAGAATGTATAAGTGTAAGGCATGAATGTGATAAATGGAGGCTGTTTTTATAAAAGTTTTTTTAAATAAAGAAATGCTGAAAAACGTAAAGAATTTTCAGATTATAATACTTTTGCATCATTTTGATTTTCTTCTAATTCCAATACAGCTACGATACTCGAGGAAATCATGCAGGTACTCCATCACATTGGAAGGATGAAGAGATTTTAGAGAATCGAGCAATATTTAGAACTATAAGATCCCCAGCGGAGTTAGTCATAAAACCCGTTAAGGTAACATACCTTTTTACTTTATCTTTATCAAGAGAGAAGGGAAAATTATTGAGTTTGCGAGTATTTGTGTTTGAGGCAAAAAATAAAAGAAAATGAAAGGCTCAACTTGTTTTATTCCTTTTATATTATATTTTATATAAAATGCTCAATTCAATCGAAAATTTTTTTCTTTTATATATTTTTACCTTGTCATGGTTAAAAGATTTTATCGATTTTCATAATGTTTTGCTTTATTTTTTACTCCTATTATTATTTCAACATCAAACCTGGAATTGAAATTATAAAATAATAGGAGAAAGATGCTGGAAACTTTAGATGTCGTGTAGACTTTAAACTTTCGCCTACAAGAAATAGTAATGTAAATCTTCAAGTTGTAGGTAAGTGCTTTGCGGTTTTTTCCACTTAATCTTTGTGCAGTTGAATGGAGAAGGATAAGTTATAAGTGCTACACATTCTTTATATTTCATGATGAAATGAAAAGATGAATAGATGAAGAGTATAAGAAGCACAATCAGAGATTTTTTGTTATCTTGAGGGAAGTTTTCAAGAATTGGAAGGCAAACTATTTTTGAAATGAAGAAACAAATCTGACGAAAGCTTAAAAAGAATCATTTTTTTGCCATGAAATAGAATAAAGAATAAAGATTTATATATATATATATATGTATTTATATATATTTCGCAGTTCCACCTTCTGTACCTGTAATTTATAATGAACAAAATGAACCAATCGAGACTCGTGCTGGTCCATACGAAGAAAGCGGCCAACTAATATTAACATGTGTGGTAATGGGAGGTAAGTTTACAAACTTTAACTACTTTAAACATTTCCTACTAATGGCCCGTAAGGGGCCCCATTTTGTGTAAAACCAAAAACAATCACTTAATAAAGATAATTTCATGAAGACAAAATTATTAGGAAAAAATTCATCGCGGTGTGTAATTACCCATCAAATTTTTTTTCCCATAATGTTGTCTTCCTCTCGATTCTTGATTCCAACAATGTTTTTTCTGTCACTAGAAAGATTTTGAAGAGTTTTTAAATATAATCATGGATGTTATGGATACTGAGGATAGAAAGGAACTTTATAGTTTTAATCTAAACATTTTTTGACCAAATTTCGTTTCTTTATTTTGAGCTCCTTTTTGCGAATAAAGCTATATAGAGACTTTTTATTTTAGGGCTTCGAGAAACAGCTGTTTTTAAAAAAAATTTTGATTAATTTTGAAATTTTTTTGATTTTTGAAAACATCTGTTTTTCTGGTTTTTCCTGAATTCAAAGTAAACTGGCAAACCTTTGTGTAATTTTATTGTTGCTTTGTTAGAGCTTTATAATCTCTAACACTTTATTTGAAATTTTCAAAAAATCTTACCATTTTTTTTAAAAAAATTGGTGATTATACTTTTTAAATTTAAGAAAATGTTAAAACTGAACATCGTAGAACATCGTTAGAACATCACTGAACTGTAGAAAAAAATTTGATTCTTCGAAAACTTCTGAACATCTGTTTTCCGTTAACAGATTTTTTCGAAAGTCAGCTGTTATATTGTTTTCTGTTACATACGTTCATTCATGTTAAAAGATATGAATGCTTTGTGTAATATGAATATTATTATTAAAAATTTTTTAACTTAAAAAAACCTTATACTTATTGTCTAGAATAATGTAGAATCTTTTTGCTAATATTTGAAATTTGAATTTCAGAAAATATAAGCTTGCATAAATTTACATTATGTCATTTTAGGTTCACCAGCTCCGAAGGTGAAATGGTTTGAAAACGGAAAGGAATTGCCAACAGAAGCAAATGACTTCTCTTATCCATCTAGAACAACAAATAAACTAATAGTTAAGAATTTAGCACGTACACACCAACACGCTATTTACACATGTCAAGCGTCTAATTTTCCCAATAAATTTGTATCCAAAAATATTACAATAGAATTATATTGTAAGTATAAACAATCAAAAGGAAGATAAAACATAAAAATCAAAATAAAAAGATTGGGATTTCATGTCATGAGAACAATAGAATATTGAATGAATTTCACAACACGTGTGCTTGTGTGCTTTCAATAAATATATTTGATTGATATTATCTTTCCCAAAACAATGTTTTTTGATTTGTTTCTCATGTCTCATGAATTTCATTGTTACAGTACGACCATTAGAGGTAGATATTCTATTCAACAATCAGCCTTTATCAGCAGACAGGCAATATGAGGTTCAATGTCAAACGACTGGATCACGACCGCCGTCCATTATAACGTGGTGGATGAATGGTGTAGCACTCGTTGCACAGCCATCAAAAGTAAGTCAACCGACTGTTTTATTGACATAAATTGTCTAAAAATTGCCTCTACATTATTTTTTCTCACTTAATTTATAATTCATAGACATCTCCAGATGGAAACGTTACAATATCAACGTTACTGTTTACGCCAATAAGACAAGACAACGGTAAAAGTTTGGTGTGTCGTGCTACAAATGAGCTCGTACGAAATGGAATTAAGGAGACAACACTAAAAATGAATGTTTTCTGTAAGTAAAAAAAAAATATTTCTTTTTCCTCTTGTTTTATTTTGCGTAATTTGTACATACATATGACCACATAACATGAAAATGCAATTTAGTGTGGAAGGATAGGAGAAAATTCTATAACATCAACTGTTATGTAATTGAGGAGATGAGAATGAAGTTAAGATGCAGAGAAAATTAGTTCATTAATTTAGATAATTAATGAGTTATTTGCCGTAACTGTTTGTTTTTCTACATCAGTTGATAAATATTAACATGCTTCTCATGATGCATAACTACACACATAATTTATTAAGATACATTCGTATGTAGTGAGATTAGAGAAGTCGTTATTTGCGTTTGTCGCATACTATTATTATTATTATTATTATTTTTATTATGGTCCATCAGCATATAGCTATTTAAAGACCTGCACTATTCCAAAAAATACAATGATCGCAATTATCTTTATTTTGTATGTGCCATCTGTTGGGTAGATGTTAAACCTCCGTTGCATTTTAATCAAAACGTCCTCTTCTTGCTCTTTCATCTGTTCATCTTTTTCTTTCTCTTCTGACTCATCGTCAGAATCTTGATTCTCCGTTTTAGCAATGTCATACTTGAGAAATAGTTTGAATCGATCTGCATTTGTGTTTGGGGTTTCTGCAAGTTCGTCCACGAAGTTGCAGAAATCATTGATTGTCTTCTCTATGTCTGGGATTTTTTTCAACTTTTCCTGAGCGAAAGTTAATTTCCTGAAAAGTCCTTCAATATTGACTGCTTCTTGGAGCTTCTCTGCGTAACTTATTTGACTTGATATGACCGAGCTGTAGGATGCAGCTTGACTTTTCTCGATCACATTATTGCACGCAACTTTTCCTTGTTTCGGCAATTGTGGAAACTGTTTTGATGATAGTTCAATTGCATTTTTAATTGTTGCCTTTGGTTTGCTTGGACGTGTGTCGCATACTAAACACAATAGAAAATGTTATGATTAATTGCAATAAGTTATCTTCCAAATAATAAAAATCAAATTCTTTTAAGAGAGTTTTCAATATATTCAGTATAGTGAAATTGTGTTTTTTTATGTTCTATAAAACGATATACAGAATCTATTAACCTATGCAATATAATTTTCGTTTCTAGCACAAAAAAAAATTTTATTTTTGCAAGGCTGCTAAACTAATCATTAAATCGTCCAACTACTGGAGCAATCGCGAAAAATTGCTCTAATAAAAACTTTCATTCGTTCAAAAATGTTCCTTGTGTTTGCATTTACGCTTAATAGCAGCTCATAAAATGCAATAGTACTTCAGATTCACATGCAAAATAATGAAAATTATCACAACTTGTGTTTTTAAAACTTTTTACTTAAACAAAATACCATTTTATCTAGTTATTATCTCTCATATTAAACATATAACAGCTCTTGACGAACGATATAATAAAACTTTAAATTATTGAGAAGCAAATTAATTATGTTACTATCATTGGCATTGAAAAAAGATTGATAATAAATTCATTAGAATAAAAAAAAAAACTTAAAATCAAGGGAAGGTAGAACGAGAGTCTGTTATTTATGTGAGAAATTGTGTGAACAATTTAAGTACCTGTCAAGTAATTTTCTATATTTGTTGGCACAACAAGGAGCCATTCATTCATTCATTCACCCTCACAGAGTTACATTTAAAAATTTCCTTTAATTTTTTCGTTTTATTTTTCTGAAACAACTGAAACGTTAAGATGAAAACAAATCATTTCTATTCGTTCTTCTGTTTGCCCTCTCTTTATTTCCATTTTTTTCTTGAAACATGAAGAAAACATAAATTTTTTTACACAACATCAGTTGAAAAATGTGAAGAAGTTTTCTTAGCTGCAAGGCAAAACAGAAAAAGAAAAATGTATTTAACATTCATAGGAAGTTTTTCGTGAATAATAATTTGAAAAAAATAAAAGTTATGACTTGGACTGCAGGGGATAAATGAATTGCTTTTCTTCTCTTTTTTTAAGTGTGTCTTTTAAGAGTAAAGAGAAAAAGGAAATATATATTCGACGATCAATTTCACAAATTTCATGAATAAAAAAATGAGAAAAACTTTCTGAATTTTTATTTCATATTTCGGTATATTCGATGGAGTAAATAACTCAATGGATTATTAAATTTGAAAGCAAAATTTAAAATTAAAAATAAGATTTCAAGCGCATTTAAATTAAGTAAGGAAAACTTGATGATCAAAATGCTTGGTTTGATATTTTCATTGACGTTTTAAAAAAACTAATCATTTACTTACTAGAATTTGTAAAATAAAAAAAAAGCTCTAAAAAACAATTTGAAGGATCTTTCTTGCCACAAATCATAAAAATGTAAATATATTTTCATATTTCTATGCAAATTAGTTGTTTAGTAAGGACAAAAATTTGTATAGTAAGTGAATTTAGTACATTGTGAAACTTAAAAGATTTTTAAAAATTTTAACTTTGAGCTTTTTTTTTTCATTATATCTATTATAAATGGGGTTTTTTTGACTTTAGAGCTAACATTATATTTACGCTAGCAAGAGCTAAAACAATTAACATTAGCTCAAAGTTTTAGAATAAAAACTGAAAGAAATAATAGAATTGATATAAAGGAAAAAGGAAAAGAAAGAAAGTTACAATGTATCTAATAGAGTATAAATAATTACACGCGCCAGGGAAAATTTTCTTCGTCGTTAGTTGTTTACATACAAATTAGCTTTTCTTCGCTTCCTTAAAGCATTTCAATTCATTTCTCTTTTTCTTTTCAACACACAAAAATATAAAAGTTTTGTTTCACAAGAACAGCAGCAGCAAGCAAAAAGTGGAAGCTTAAGGGAATGAAAAGGAAATATAAAGTATGAAAAAAGATGGGTACTAAATAGATTTTTTTTATGTTGTGCATTGTGTTGAAAAATCTGCAAACAAAATATTTTTGTTCCTGTTTCTTGGTTTTAAAAATAGTAATGGAAGACATTTTGCTTAAACCGAATCATATCATTACTTTACAAAAAAAAAAATGATTTAGTAAAAAAATGATGCAGTAATGCAATCGTTAAAATTGTCAAGTAAAATTTTTGTAATAATTGCAACTTTAATTGCTTTACTTTAATTATAACTCTATATTTTTCATCGTACTAGCTATATTACTGCTCTTTCGTTAAACGTTACGAATAAAGGGATTGGAAAGTTATTAAAATAATAAAGAAGGCGAGCGAAAGAAAAATAATCAAATTATGGTTATTCTCATTATGATCGAAAATTTAATTTTCTTCTCATCTCTTTTAATATAAGAAGGAAAGTTTCGCTTGAAAGTAGAAAAATCGTAAGGATACAAGATTAATAATAAAATAAGGAAAACTTTTTTATTATTTTCGTGAAGATAAACGCTATTGAAGGCTAAGAACTTTTTAACTAGACCCTAGTAACCAAAATGTTCCATATAATCTTCCTTCGACGTCGATGGAAGATCAAATGTATCATTATTTATTATATGGAAAATATTTGTTTTACAAATATGTAACAGAAGTGTTCCATCGAAGTATTACCCGAGCCTGCTTAGGATCAAATCCTATAAAATATCATCAAAAAAATATTTTTTTGCAGGAAAATAATATTTGTTCTAAATTTGGCATTTGCCATATACTTCACAATTGCTCGAAGAAATCACTATTATAAGTTCTCTCTAAATTTGTATGGGGCTTTCAATTAATTATTTATCTTCCTCAGGTTTATGTGCGAGTCTTGGTCGTTCATCAGTATGCGACTTAATTAAATTAAGACCTTTTGTTCTTTTTCGTAGTGTTAGTGTACTTTAATTAAGTACACACTAATACTTTTACAAAAAATTACACAAATAAATGAAAAATACAAAATAACACGTGGAATTTAACACGTGTTTTATTCAAAAAAAAGTAATCCATTTGTTTTCCATTTGTATTCCTTTGATGTATTACATTGATGTCTTATTGCATTGTCCATTTATTTTCCATTTTCATAGGACATCATCTTCCGATGGATAATACATGGATAATACATATGTATCATCCATGGAAGATTCTCATGGAATACATTGATCTACCTTTTGGTTACTAGGGGAATTTTCTGTTTTACTGGAATAATCATTATTTTTGAGAGATTAATGATTGAATTCCATATTTAAATTCTAGTATCAACACGTTTTACCTGTATTATATACGATACACATTGACTTTAAAAACATCTCAAATCTAAAAGTGAAGTTATATATTGGTAATGTCGTACGCATTGTGCGAATCCTTGACATATCGACAATACTTTATTTAATGTATATAATACTCATTGGTGGAAGTCGAACCTACGTCTTTACTAAAAAGTGTTTCAGATATTAGGTCTGCTACTTAGCCACTTGCGCCAGTGTGCATTAGGGCTAATCCTCTCAGGAGCAGAACCTCCTATATATGGCTTGATACTCCAGATTCCACACCAATATTTTATAGATTTTTTTTTATTTTTTACTAGCTTTATCGAGTTTCAAGAAATGTATTTTTGATTCATAAACAAAAAAAAATTTTTTTTTGATTCATATAAACAAATATATCGCCATTTTAAATTCCTTTATTTGTTAAAAATGTTAATAAGCCCAATAGGCCTATGCAATGACAGAAAAGAAGATGAAAATAATTGAATAATGTTTATAAATCTTAAAACAGAATTTTTTAAAACACTAGTTTAAAGACACATCGAGTAGAAACCCAATGCGGATATATTCACACTGTACCATCGAAAGTCTTGTTACGTGAAAACGGTGTGAATATAAAAAAAAAACCAATTTTAAACATTCGAAATTGTTATGAATATGTTTGCGAAAATATTTAAGCTTGGTTTAAAAAAATTCTACTTTTTTAGAATAAAATGAAAATTGGCTGTTCTTCATCCAACAAAAGAATGAATATTGATCTAGGAAAATCATTATGATTATTGTTATTGAAACGACAAAAATAAGGAGCGAGAATACGAAAAGGATGTAACAATAATAAGGTATTGAATAGGTGAAAATCTGGGGCACGAAAATGAATAGAATAACTGAAGGGGAAAAAAACAAAACAAAAAGAAGAGAAGAAAAGTGAAAACTCAATGAAGCAGAAATATTATGAAACAAATTTATTTCAAAACATATATACATATAAATTAATAGAATGATCAATCATCTCAATGTAACATTTATTAAACTTGATGGAAAAAAGAGAAAAAAAAGAAACATAAACATGTATGTAGGAATAAGAAGGCGTAGGTAAATAAATAAATATTTCATATGAGAAAGGATAGGAGAGTAAAATTTTCCTTTAAAATGATATGTAAAAGCGCATTTTTATTTTACAAAATTTTTCTACCTCAATTTTAAAAAACACAGAAAATTTTAAATTAATTTTTTTTTGATATGAAAAAATGCGCAAAATCCAACAAACGGTATCGATACTAAAATATATTTCAAGGAAAGAAAAAATGAGAATTAATGAAATTTTTGCGAAGAGTTCTTTATTTCCCAAAACGGGAATTCAGCTAATTCTGTCTTTAAAATGTCAAAAGAATCCTCTCTGAAAGAGGAAATATTTTTGATGAGGGTGTTGTGCAAAAAATAATTAAACGAAATTTGAATATTTTATTTCAAGCTAGAAATTTTTTTGTGTAACTTATTTTTTCAAAAAATTGACGTCGAAGAAATTTACAAACTTTATATAATACTTATAAAAAGAAGAAAAGAAGAGAAAAATCCATTGAGAGTTTCAAATTTTTTGTCTTATTTCTTTCCATAATAATGGCGAATGAAAAGATAATTCAAATTTATTGTATTGTTCTTTAATTTACTTTATTTATATTATTAAAATATTAACTATAAGTTAGACCTGTGGTAATGATGACCGTAGATTTTTTATTTTAATTCATAGGAAAACCAAGATATGTAATGTAGTTACGATTTAATGTAGATACGAAGTAATATTCTACAGTTTCTTAGAAAACTTGTACAAATAGCTTAGTACTCTGTCTGTCATTGAGCGATTCCATGAGTGAAAAAAAAAACTAAAATTAAGAAAATCAACATTAAATTTCAAAGATAGTAATGTGAATGTTAATTATAAATGAACATAATTAAGCTAAAACCATAGCAAATTTATCAAAAACTCAAAGAAAATTGGCAATTCCATAGATGAGTGGAGTTTTTGAAAAAGAATGTTATGAAAGTTCCTTTTTTTATTCCTTAATTTTCGTTAAGAAAAATTCAATTCTAGATTTTTATAGACAACATTCTGAGAACCTGTTGTTTATTGAAGTAAATTTTGCATTCTCAAAAAATATTATCACATGGATTAGGACAATAAAAATTAAGTATTG